GGGGGGGGTTCTCCTTTGCGCAACATGTCACAATATATTCACAACCACCCACCACATCTGGAGGCTGTCACCTCCGCCCTCACCCTGAGGTTACGCCGTGCCGTGGCGACCAGGGACCCACATAACGTGGCTCATAAGATAATATAGTGAATAATGGCTAACCTTTATAGCGACGGAACTCTCGACAGTGGCTACGGAAATTTGCAGCGATAACTTGAACGCTGGAAAAATATGGCAGCATGGTGAAGTTACGGTGGCTACTTTGCCAGCCAATAACATTGAGCTGCCAGGCCGTGTTCGAATGAGACGCTGATGGTCATAATTGAGTTTTTTGTGGATTTCGTGACATTGTCCAGAGCAGGAATAGTACCTTGTGTTTGGCCATGACTGTTTCCTTCCTTATCCCTTCAGGTGTTGTTCACTAATTATCATAACATTCACCGCAGTACAGTACAGTCTGAACTACTGACAGCAGGGTTAAATGAACCATGAATATATAACGACGCCTTTCACGATGAAATAATTTGTTTCTATTTTGGGTCACAATATCCATGGCACTAGGAGAGCTTAACGTACAACCACTGATACCCGTTCGTAATAGGGAAGCCGTTATTTTTCGTGTTCTAATTCAGCATCAAGCTTATTTTCATTTACTCCCTACTCAAAGGGGTCAATTCCTAGCTAGTATTCCATATAGTTACACGTTTATTTCTATTCACTCAGATTTTCCTGAAGACCATCTGGGATCATGATTGGCTAATGTGTAAAGGTTTAGAAACTTATGTCTTTTAACCAGTGTTATATTATTTGTCTCTATGGGGCCACATAGTAAATGCTTAAGGCAACCGATGCTTGGAATCGAACTCAGAACAGCTAACAAGTTTTGCAGAATAAAACGTAATATTTTCATTTATTGACATCTCTCGTCCCATCTTTCTAAGACAATCCTGTAAATTGCATATCGGTACAATAGAGGTGTTGATGGTTCTCTGCTTAAGCACCACGGCATCAAGACTTACTATGTGAAGATTAAGTTCCAAGTATTTTAAATTTCGGCACTAAATGCAGTTAAGTGCTCAACTTTACCCTCTGGTCGCATTGCTCCTAAGAAATGAACTCCCGAATAGGAGACTGGTTAGGATCTATATTCAATCCAAACGCCGTGGCGAAAATAAATCCCTACACATACCGGGAATCAAACCCCACTCGTCAAGCCTATAGACATACCAATTTAGTACCAATTACCCTAGGCCGTATGCAAGTGATAGCTGTTAAATATAGTTCTGACGTTACAGTACGTAAAGAAGGCAAAGTTATCCCTGTAACAGGCTGTCGATGCTCCCATATTTTCTAGACAGTCGGCTCACAGGTGGCGGTGAGGTCAGCCTTACGCGCCGGCTGCCCTTTACCCCCATGAAGATTCCTGGTACTCATTTCTGTTAGAGGCTGAGTCGACCACAGGGCCAAAGTGCGGCTAGAAGGGTTATGTCAATTGAAAACTCCAATGATCTCAACAGGAATCGAACCCGCCACCTTCCGAATTATGGCGTAGTGCCGTAGGACAATAAAATATGAAGGCGAAAGCGGATTAGATACGTCACAAACAGGTGTAAAAACAATTCGCATTACTGCCGGCAATATAAATTTCAAAGAAACAGCGTAGGACATTTCAAGGACTCTCCGTTGCGAAGTGTAAATTCAGGAATTAAAGGCGTTTAACTTTTGCATCATTTAAACGGAAATGTTGACGTGGGTCGCTCAGGTTACGGTATTTTAATGAAATTCATGCTTTTCTGTTTAAAGGTTTTTAACTTTCAGCCTTTCGTTCAAGAGAATCCGGATGCGGCCTTTGAACAAATTTGATATTATTAGGTTACGATATGACATTTTATTAATTATTGCTCTGTCGCCCATTGTACCGAGAATAGGTTGTAATAACAAGACACATGACATGCTGACGGATATGCAAGTTGTGTGTAATTAGAACACGTATTTATTATTGCAATTTACTTTACCTGCAACCGGCTACGGGAAAATCGATCGAGGCTTACTTAAGATTAAAATTTATTCGTGACATCTCCATTTAGATTTCATTTGTCGTCCATATATCTTTTCAGATATTTATAAATTATGGTTTTCAATAATCACGAATAGGTTAAAACAATTTAGCAGTTTTTGAGGTACTGAAATTTGTCGCTAGTTCCTCCAGCACGCGGTAACCCACATAGTCCCACCCGACCCTCGAACAATAACAATTTCCCC